GTTACTACGCCTCCTGCCTACTTCATGGGATTCTCGCGAAATTTAGAGTGTTTTTTCAAGACACACTATGGAGATGATAATTGTGTTGTTTTCGATTCTCATATCGGAGAATTTAGATATCTTAAAGTTACAGGAAATGAAGTCATGACTTATATACCTTTTCGAACGCCTCTCCGGAATTATGACATGAAGAGTATAGTTGAGAGAAATAAGCATTAGTAGTTCCTATGCTCATTTACCCTTTTTTTCTATTCTTTTTAGAGTTTTGTTTTATGTTACTTCATCATCAGATTGTCACCTTCGTGAACTAGGGACAATCCTTTTTTCTTTTTGTCATACATAATTGAATATTTTCCGTTATTATTAAATTGTTTCACACTTATAAAAAATGGAAACCAATCATTATATCAATGTAGATATTTCGATGTTAATATTGTATGGATTCAATTGTGACTCTTTACCCTTTTATGTTTAATTCTCATCAATTGGCATTCACAAGTTGAGATAATGAATGGTTAATCGGATAGTTAGGCCAAACTTTTTTGTTGGGTGATGAGAGGCACCTGGTGTGTCCTCATTGATGTTGTATTACAACTCATTATTCTATCTTTGGACACAATACCCTCGTATAATTTACATAACTCAAGTATCCTAACACTACATAATAGAGATTCCAGGGCGCATCATGTTTAATTTCTGTTTTTCTGCGCTCTGCGCAGTTCACGGGAGGCAAATTTGGTAAAATGGCTCCGTTGGCTCCGTTCCATTGAGATGGGCCGTACTTGATGCCCCGCCCAAGAAAGAGACCCAAGTCCTAGATGGGCCGCGTTGAACAAATTCCAACCGCCGAATTCGATCTGCAACCCTCCATAAAAGATGAATCTGCTCCGCGAAACTCACTGCTCGCAGCCTCTGTGAAATCGAACCTCACCGCAACATCGCCGCCTGCCCAAACAACCTCGCCGCGAAACTCACCGCTCGCAGCCTCTGTGAAATCGGACCTCACCGCGGAGCCTGTCTTTCCCGTCCCCCAACTCTCTCGCTGTCGACCGGGCCGTACCTCACCGCCTCTCTCGCTGGCGGCCGTAATTTCAACATTGCATCTGTCTCTCTCTAAGCTCACCGCCAGACTCGAGCATCAACTCGGATTTTGTTTCCCCTGTCTTCTCCCCTTGGTCGTTTAGTTGGTCGCAGGAGTGTTTCCGGCGGTTCCTTCTCCCCTTGGTCGTTTAGTTGGTCACAGGAGTGGTTTCCGGCGGTCGAAGTGGAATTGAACCACAGTGCTGGTCCTACAATTTACTGGCGAGGTATCCCTCTCTCTCTCTCTACCCACTTTCATACCTTTTACCAGAAATTAGAAGAAGGGGCCTTATTCGAGCTGTTGTTACATGGAGAGATGGGCTATGTTTTTGCATTTGTTCCTGAATTCTTTAGATGAACCTTGCCCATGTTTTGCTGATGGGTGCGTAGATATATTAGGTCTGCTCCACCAATCTTTGTTCCCTCGGTCGAATACAATTACCACCACTGGGATAAAACAACAGCAGCACTCGAGCGGCTATTAGCATCACACATGTAATCCTTTCTTACCTCTTTTTGTATTTTTTCCCCATTTATTTCGTTTGATGAGGATTGTTCCTTTCACTGTTAAATAGTTCAGCGTATGTTGATTTGTGCAATTGATTCTGGCTTGCTTTCAGTGTGATTTTGATTTCACTCTTGAATAGTTTAGTTTGCTTGCAGGGAAACTGAAACTTGCTCTATTAGTAGTCATATAATCATATCATTATTCAATTAGCAGTGGTGTCCTGAATGGCTCTTCCTTGAGCTAATTCCCTTGGTTCTCATTTAGATTGGCCATAAACAAATGCAATAGATGAAATCCATGTAACTTACAGTATATATAAAATCCAAAACGAAACACTTACCCTAATATGTGCTGGCCTGCAGGGTGCAATGACCTATATATACAGTGGTAGACATGCAAATGCAATGTGTTGTTTTCGAACAGAATATCATCAAATAAAACAAATTATATTTTCTCTATACGTGGCTGCATTTTTTTAAATTCATCATAATGAAACTAATTCCTACAAACAAACCATCTGTAGGACAATATAAGTCCAAAATTACTTCTAATTACTTCCTTCTAATCATATATTATTATATTAGTGTTTGCAAATACAATTTGAATTAGTGCTACAATGTTAAAAGTATAAATTCAATTTGTACAAAAATATATCAATACAAACTATACCATAACGTTAAAGGACAGTTCCGTTTGTATCATGCTCTCTCTATCTCATTGGCTTGAAAAGGGCTGCAATAGAACAAATAGGTTCAAATGATAATGGCAGTTTCATTATTTGTTCATAATTCTTATCCCTTCTCTTGAAGTAGTTGTCAATTGTTCCTTTAATGTTCATTTTGGTTAGTACTTGCTTGCATTGGCTGTCAAAGGCGAATCTTATGTTCTTTTATGTTCTTTCTTAGTCATGCCTCTCTCTAACTCATTATTTTTTCATTATTATTATCCCTTCTTTGTAAGTGGTTGTCAAGTTTTCCTTTAACATTTGTCTTGCTCAGTACTTGATCATTATTTGTGCATTAAGGCAAATTTCATGTTCTTTTTTGAAGTTCTATGCCTCGAAGAAGAAGTATTCCCCATGGGAAGTCATCAACAGTCTCAAATAATGAGTCAATTCGACCATTAAAAATTGAATGTATGTACAAATATTGGTCTTAGCATAATTATATAGATTTGCAATTTAATATGTTTCATTTCACGTGTTATTCAGGGTATAAGAGAGCTGTTTTTTTACCACCAGAAGGTGTAATAGATTCTAATCAGTCTCTATCTGAAGCACAAAATAAAATTTTCGATGGTATGATTATCTATTAAATGTTTTTTGCCATAACGAAGTATCAATGAAGTAAGAACTAATATAATCTCTTTAACTATTTCACTATAGTTGAACTTACAAAATCATTACTCCTCAATGTAAATTTTAGAAATTCATGCACATAAGTCAGAATTGAAGAGAATTAATCATCCGTTGGCCAAATTAGCAAGAAGGAAACGTGCTATTTATATAAGGCAGAAGCGTATATATGGCAGAATGGTGAACATTCCTACCGGTAATCCATTTGTTCCATATTTGTTTTTGATTTATTTGTTATTAGTTTAATGTGTTAGCTGCTGTGATTAATTTTTTAACTAATTCCTATACAGGACTGCAAAGTGAGATGGATAAGTTACAATCTAAGAGAAATAGATTATTGAGATCTATCAAATTAGTCGAAAATCGTTATAAGCATCTTCGATTGATACGTTCTGGTGACTTTCCAGGTTTGTCCACAAAAACTCGAAGAAGATTCTAATGAGTACTTCTGTGGGAATTGTATGACAACATTAAAGACCACTACAGCCCGGTAATTCGATGATTGTTTAATGTCAATTTTACTTTCATGTATTTCATTCCTTGATATATTGCTAACGTGGTTGGATACATGATCAACTACGACATAGTTTATGTTCCTTTTTTAATTTAATAGATATTGCAACATGGTTGATAATTTAATTTGATGCAACATGCTTTTTAATCATTTACTTTTGGCTTACATATATTAATTCAACGACCTCACCACTCCTACGATTTTTCTTCTTTAATCGCATCATTATAATCATAGATTTAGGATCCACCTCCGAGCTGCGGACACAACAAATGCAGCTGACTTTGTTATTATGGATCGAGTTGCCGATCGATTTTTTCGCATATCTGCTGAAAAACTTTTCCAAGACAACGATCAAATGAGAGGACCACCACCGGCTCATCTCTTACAAATTGAAGGGATGAAGTTGAAGTTCTTCATCAAGCTCACAGGTTACAACATCGCTAACCCTACAAGCGAATACACAATTATCAAGATAGAGAAGGATGAGGAAAACTCCAACTCAAATGATCTCCCAATATTGATCGAGGTATGTACAAGTAACGTCAAATTGTCATTTACAACACTTTCCAATACTTAAGACGTTGATTTTGCAATGTATATGATTCTATGAAAATTATATCTATTAATGGAACTTCTATTTATTGATTCATAATTACCATGCACTTTTCATTACTTGAGTTTGATTTTGAGACGTTGATTTTGCAATGTATATGATTATGTGCATGTTATTTCTATTACTGGAACTTCTATTTATTGAATCATAATTACCATGCACTTTCCATTACGTGAGTTTGATTTTAATATGTATATAATGTATATATATATTAGTGAAACTTTCATTCATTAATATAATCACAAGCAATTGCAGGAGGAAAAAGTAGACCCTGCTAATGGTGTACCCGCTGTCGTTGATGGTGCCGAGAAAAAGAAAGATATTGCTCATGAGGCGGAGGTAAATATTACACGATATGATAATTTACTTTTATTTGCACAATAATAATAATACCTAAAATTAGTGCTAAATATAATGCAGAAAAATGAGGAAGAAACTCCCCAAATGCAAGAGAAGGAGGCGTCAACATATAGTGGAGCAAAATGGGACACCAATGGCGACAAAGCAACTACTATGGATGGACTTGCTGCTGTTGTTGATGGAGCAGGAAGTGAAAAGAACCAGAAAAAACGAAAACATGGAGTTGTCTCCGACGATGATGAGTAATAGAAGGATTCTTTTAAAACAATTCTAGGAGTTGGTTCCCTTTCATGGGGTTTTTCTTTCATTTATCGTACGAGGATTTAGTCGGCCAGGATGTCGGTTGAACTATTTTATTCTCTTTTTAGATTTCGAATTAAAGAGGATGTTGGTTGAACTATTTTATTCTCTTTTTATATTTATGGTTAAAGAGGATGTCGGTTAAACTATTTTCTTGATTTATATTAGAACAATAAATAAAGGCAGGCATGAAATGGGTTTTTAGACAGCCACAATAAAAATAGGAGTCGAAAAATGCAACCAAAGCTAGAACCATCTTGCCTTATTGACTGGGTGAAGATGACCACATTAAGAAGGTGAACCTTTAGCATTGAAGTTATACGCTTTGAATTCCAGGTTCTTCCAGTCGCCACTACATATTTAGAGTAGTTTGTTAATTAAGTATGTCACACATACCATTATCAACAAACAGCTGAATGATATTGCACTGTATGACTAAGCTTCAATGCATAAGCAACTAACCAGAAGAAAAACTATTAATGCTACAGGGATGAAAAATTACTAGCTGATGCTACATGGACATAACGGACTAAGAAGTTATAAGAACACTATGTGCAGTGAAAATAAGTATATGCATACCTCTGCAGGTTTTCTCGGGTCAAATCAGTCGCAAACTTCTTTCTTTGGGGAGCATAACTAGGTCCCTTTCTTGCAGAATATCCCTTCCACGTCCTAGACCAGAAAACTCATTTTTAAGTTATAGCTAATCACGAGGCACTTAAATTTGTACAACAAAACATAAGGAGGCCCAGGGATATTGAACTAAAGAACAAGATGAGAACCATACTGCAAAACAATTAGCTTCCTTGCTTTGAGGGAGTTAATATCAGCTTCACCAATGACCTGAATAGTAAGAGTCAAAAAAAGGGATATTGAACTAAAGAACAAGATGAGAACCATACTGCAAAACAATTAGCTTCCTTGCTTTGAGGGAGTTAATATCAGCTTCACCAATGACCTGAATAGTAAGAGTCAAAAAAAGGTAAATGTTTAAGCACCAGAGACGAGAATAGATAGAAAACAAACCAATTTGAAAGTCCTCTAAATTAAATGAGCAAAAACCACCAAAGATGTCAGGAATAGAATTGATGACTACTAACCAAGTCCCATAAAAAACAGTTCATTCCTTAGAATGATCGTGGCTAGAAAATGGATCACCGAAGGCAATATGAGAAAACCAACCCCTAATATAAGTACATCTGCATCTTACTGATTTCATTTCTACATAAAACATTGACATGCATTTAATAACGATTCAAATTGATCACAAATCAAGCTACACAGAGCAGGGATAAATATGACTCACAACAATAGAATTGTATTGTGGGTACCATATAATAATTAGGACAAAAAAACGAACAAAATTCTAATGGCTAATATCAACCGAACCCATCATAATAAAAAAGAGCTTCCAGGAAATATAGAATCGAAATGCCAAATATTGAGGCCAAGAAGTGAAAAAGAACCAGAAACAAAAAAAAAACATGGAGTTGTCTCCGACGATGAGGAGTAAATAGAAGGATTCTTTTAAAACAATTCTAGGAGTCGGTTCTCTTTCATGAGGTTTTTCTTTCATTTATCGTACGAGGATTTAGTCGATCAGGATGTCGGTTGAACTATTTTATTCTCTTTTTATATTTCGAATTAAAGAGGATGTCGGTTGAACTATTTTATTCTCTTTTTATATTTATGGTTAAAGAGGATGTCGGTTAAAGTATTTACTTGATTTATAAACGAATCCGGCCAACCGGCCGGGCACGTGACTAGTTTTAGTTTAGTTAAGAGTAGCAAGGTGAATTTGTTATTAAATGAAGAAATCAAATAAATAAGTATTACTAAAAACAATAAACTTTCCACGCGATGGGCTTGTAATTTGAATGCCGCCCCAAAGTCTTCGGGAAAAATCCAAAAGTACCACTGTTTAAAAAAAAATTCCAAAAATACCACCCAACCCCAAAAAATTCCAAAAATACCACCCTTTTTCAAAAACTGCCACCCCACCCAGCGGTTTGGTCGAAAACCGCTTGTCGGGGGCGCGGTTTTGGACCAAACCGCGGGCCTAGGGGGCGGTTATAAAAAATAAAAAATTTTGGACCAAACCGCTGGGTGGGGTGGCGGTTTGGCCCAAAACCGCCACCCCAACCAGCGGTTTGGTCCAATTTTTTTTTTTTTTTCGACCAACTCCTAACTTCGGTCGAAACTTCAAACGAACGTAACTTTGCACTCGGGTATCCGATCGTAGCGATTTTTTTTTTCATTTCGCATAAATTTTCAAGATCTACAACTTTTACTAGGATGAAATTTTCAAAACAGGAACTATTTTTGGATATACGGGACCTTGAGAATAACTTTACCTTTACTTTTCAGAAATCCATGTACATTTTGAAATTATGATTATATTAAAAGTTGTAGATCTTGAAAAGTTATGCGGAATAAAAAAAAAGTTAATAACATTCGGAGTTTGGAGCACAAAGTTATGGCCGCCCAAAGTTTGACGAAAGGCGAGACCCGGCGATTTGCGGCTTGCAAGATCTCAAAAAGTTTGCGGCCTCCATTTTTTGAATCCGAATAAATTTTTGAGATCTTGCAAGTCTCAAACAGTCGGGTTCCGTCTTCGTCTCGAAAAAACGTCATTTGCCACCCCGAACGACCTTTTTTTTTATTTCGTCAATGAATAACAATAATGTGCACCGTACGTAAGTCTTTATGTTTAGTGTCCCAAATCAATCAACTTTGTCTTTAATTTCCTTCTGCAGGCACATATGTTAATTAATTTGCAGATCCTGTTCAAAATTATGATACTAATGATGGTCAGTTTGTAGCGTATGGAACCTTAAACAAACAACATTATTCTAGTTTACAAACAATAATATGGAATCTTGTATGCAGGGCCAAGGCATTGGCCATACACTGAAAAGGACGTGATATATATGTCTTGACCAACATAGTTAGCAAAAATCCGTTTACTATAATATGGAATCTTGCAAGCCGCAAACCGCCGGGTCTCGCCTTTCGTCAAACTTTGGGCGGCCATAACTTTGTGCTCCAAAATCCGAATGTCATGAATTTTTTTTTATTCCGCATAACTTTTCAAGATCTACAACTTTTAATATAATCATAATTTCAAAATGTACATGGATTTCTGAAAAGTAAAGGTAAAGTTATTCTCAAGGTCCCGTATATCCACAAATAGTTCCTGTTTTGAAAATTTCATCCTAGTAAAAGTTGTAGATCTTGAAAATTTATGCGAAATGAAAAAAAAAATCGCTACGATCTGATACCCGAGTGCAAAGTTACGTTCGTTTGAAGTTTCGACCGAAGTTAGGAGTTGGTCGAAAAAAAAAAAAATTTGGACCAAACCGTTGGTTGGGGTGGCGGTTTTGGGCCAAACCGCCACCCCACCCAGCGGTTTGGTCCATTTTTTTTTTTTTTATAACCGCCCCCTAGGCCCGCGGTTTGGTCCAAAACCGCGCCCCCGACAAGCGGTTTTCGTCCAAACCGCTAGGTGGGGTGGCGGTTTTTGAAAAATGGTGGTATTTTTGGAATTTTTTGGGGTTAGACGGTATTTTTGAAATTTTTTTTTTAAACAGTGGTACTTTTGGATTTTTTCCAAAGTCTTCTCCCGTTCTGATCGAATATAGATCTCCAATTGTGGAGGAAATATTAGGTAGCCGTAAATGGGTTTTGCAAGGATCCCAATTCGAAAGCACTGACAAGGATTATGGATAGAAATCATCTCAGTTTAGTGTGAATTTACCAAACACAACTTGATTAACGGGTACCTAATTTTCAGAACTGAATAAAACCAAAACCAATATTCTCTCATCAACCCAAAACATTATCAACTACATCCCCATCGTTAACTAGCATGGCCTCAAACACTAACCATGATGAGCAAAATGGTTACATGTCTGCGTCAAGAAGATCAGACCTCAATCGGGAACCAGTTTGCGCTGACCGATCTTCAATCTCCCTCTCGAGTGGCAGCAAGCATCGTCAGCATCGATACCCAACGTTGACCACATTCATATGCAACTTGCCAAACCCGAACTGCTACTTCTTCCTCCCACCGCCAGCCTTCGATTTTTTCCCACTCGCTCCCTTGGTAGTGGCAACAGGCATCTCCTGTTATTACACCAGATCAAAACTATCATCGATGTCGCAAGCAAACAAAATAAACAGTGCCCACAAACCAAACATCATCCAGGCAGAGTTTAACTCGAGTACACGTTACACATCCTATATGGTATAAACCCTACATAGCAAAGAGTTCCTTGCAAGAGAAGTAAACAAACAACGCAAGCGACAACCTAAAACCAAAACTTAAAATTGCTTCAAGCCACCATCCAAGAAACGTATTCGGTTTTAACAACAGCACCAAATTATATCAAACCACAAGGTCACTCAATGTACTGGGATTTGAAATGGGACATCAAAGGTTATTCAATGTGTTGGGAATAAGGTAAAATAACTAACAGTGACTGAAATGGATGTGACCAGGGTTTCAGCTTCATCAGCTGAAGCAGACAACTCTGGAAAATGGAACATAGTGCTTTGAACTCAGTTCCAGACTTGGCAGCCTTGCACTGCCAGAGACCCTCGGCAAGTACCAACAACTAAAGGCTGGAATGGAGGCCATTTTTGGCCTTCCCAGTGGTTTGAGAGACCCAAGAGTACATGTTGTTCCCTGTCATCCAAAGCACTAAAAAATTATGGTACCAGTCATGTTTGTAGTGCCTCATAGCAAGCTCAGAACATGCTTCTCTCTCCCTACCTATTGATGTTTTAGTGGAACCAATAACTATTCAAACATTAGATTGCTGATCTGTGATGCCATTGTCTACTTATTCCAGGGAACAAAACCTATATGATTAAGTTATGTGCCACGAGATCATGTATCCTGGGTCGCATCTAACTAGATATTGCATGGACAAGTCATTTACTAACTGAAGGGAGAAAGCACTGATTAGAAGTAAGCACATTGTTTTATCGAGAAAACATTACACAGACATAGGCTTAAAGAAAGATAAATACAGCAGGGGATACGCAAAACTATAAACAGGACAAGATAAGATTATGCAATAAGAAAAGAATTAACAACACATACAAGTTCAGAAAAGAAAGCAGGGCAGGAATTTGCTTCTTGAGGAAACTTGCAGCACAGAGAAAGAAACCATCAAAATTCTTTACTAATAGATAACGGATTAATGGTAATGTCCTCTAGCCGCTGCTATCTCCACCTAACCGAATTTAGAAACCCCGTCCAGTTTAGGTCATATGCATTTAAGATCTGTAGCAAACAAGTTGAGAATTTATGACTCTAACAGCAGTACTCGAGTGCCAATATAAGAGGTTTCTATCAGCTTGCATGAGTAGGCAAACTGTACCTAACTCTGTCCGTTAGTTCATGAGTTCAGATGCAAGCATGTCATTTTGAACGCAAATGTACAGCATCAGAAGCACATTCCAGATGCAATACCAAACTACAGTTTAACTCAAGTAAGCATACACGCATGCATCAACAAGCAGATTTATTCAATTTTAACTTTCAACCTCTACCTGTCTATTACACAACACAGAATGATGATATCCTATCAAGTAAAGAAGAGTTGAGAAAATATCATATGATAAGATGCTTGCAATGGCACATTACCTTCCGCTTAAGGGGAATGGATGTGCTGGCAGCAGGTTTGAAAAATGAATCCAATCTGTGCAACAAAAATGTAGACAAGGGCGCTCATGAGAAAGTATAAGAAAACATAAAATGTCTTTGATCAGCACTGAATCACCATTCCTCTATCACTACTCTCGTAAGTGTGAAAATGATAACTCTAAATTCACCTAAAACTATGCCAACAATGAATCTTAATAACCAAAGTTATAGCACCTAAAAGAAAAATACAATAATGATTATGCCTCAGTTAGGATTTTCCATATGCCGTGGTAACTGGTAAGTAGTTA